AAATGTATAATATATAGTAGGGGATAAGTGGGGAAAAAAAAAAAAAAAAAAAAAGGGGGTAACCCCCCCCCCACCGGGGGCGGGGTTTTTTCAAGTGGGCGTTTTTGGTTTTTTTTTGGCTTTTTTTTTTTTCCCTTGCCAACCTTTGAAAATTTTTTGGAAATGGGGGGGGGTTTCAAAGGGGGGGGGGGGGGGGGGGGGGACCAGGTAGGTGAGGTAACCCTCTCATGTGGGGTGACCCGCCTGTCCATATAATCCCTCATTTTAATTTGATCACGTTGTGAATTGTGACAAACTGCCCCGAAATTTAAGAACCCGTTCAGCCTGACCTCGAAACTTCTAGGTTCTTATTTGTGGATTTTTACTGTATTATTGTACAAATAATAATCTCTATTCGTAAAATAGCGGCGTAGCCTATTTCTCTTTCGTAAACTGTCGTTGCCATTTTTAGCGGTCGATTCCAATACTGGTGACCAAGCCTTTAGTCATGATAGATGTTATATATTCCCTGGATTAAGTTATCATAAAGCAAATAATACGTTCTTGAATAGTCTTAGAAAGAACGACGTTGAAGCCCAGGTTAAATTTACGTTAAGAGTTTTGAAAAGGGCTAGGGTAACCTGTTACCGTGATGTAACAGTGAAGAACGACAGTTTGCTAGTTTATGTACTTAAATATTTCAGAATTTTGGCGGGTTGGTATGGTGGTTGAGTGGTAAGGGAGCCAGAGATTAGGATACAAAATGGCCTAGTTTGTGGTCTTCTTCTTTATTTTTAATAGAAACACTCTCACAAAAAATTGGCAGCGACCGTTTACGAAAGGGACAACTGCAGCGTAGATAGTGGTTACAATTGAATAGCACATTCCTATAAATTAGGTCTCTCGTAGACACTTCTTTTTATTCTACGCCTCTTTAACTTGCCCCACACAGTTATTGTATTCAGGGACCCTGTCGACCGGGGAACTGGCATCTATTTTGTGCCTCTCTTTTTGGATCGCCCAATCTTGTTTACACTAACGGACTTTTTTGTTTTTGTATCAATGGTAGTTTTAATTTTATTTGTGTACTGCACTCTTTTGCTTATTTGCATTTTAGAATAATGACTTCTGCCAATCGGTTCAAAGCAATCTATACTTCCTTTTAATCACAGAATGTACACTTTGTTATATTTTTAACGTAGGTATTTTGCAAATGTATCTCATATTGGGAGAATCATAGTGTTTGCACAATGTGCTAACTAATATATATATTTTTTTCAGTTGGAGTAGATTGTGAATCACGTTCAAGTTGGCAAAGAAATTTTTGTCAGGTTAAGAAATGAGCAGTCATAAACTGCGCAAAAGAATTATGGATTACGTGTATGAATAAATAAGCAACGATATGATAAGTGAAACTCGGTCACGTGGTACACTTGCCGTTTGCATTGATCGTGATTCTTAATCTTATTCCAGCACGTATTTAGTACACGCGGAATCATTTTCTACAAAATAGAATTTCCAAGTAATAGAGGGCGCTCTTATTATAGTGAGGTTGCACTTAGTAATATTCTTAATTATTGAACTGTTTGTACGCTTTCTTTGTTAGTCAAATAAAGCTATCAGCTTTTAGCGTTTAAAATACTTAGTAACAGTTTCGCGCGTCTTGTCTGTGATTTTAAACCAAGCTGAATTTACTAGACACCCCTTACGACATGCACGCGTATAAATTATTTTAAGTGATTGGTCTGGAAAAGTCGTATGTCCGCTGGGCAGACCTCAAACACACACCCCAGCCTCAGCCCGTGGAACTTTTTGTTTACCTGAAATGCTTTGTTTTGTCATTTTGGTAGCTCAAAAAAGTGATTTCAAGGTTGTTGGGCTCGATGTTTGTACCTCTTCTTATAGGTGAATGTCGAACGCACACTAGTTAAAAATTCCGTTGCCCTTTTCAGCTGCCAAAATGACAATACACAGCATTCTGGATAACAAACGATTGATTGTACTGGTCTGTATGTGAGCATTCGTGACAGTACATGTATGTAACGATATAAACATGAACCTTTTCGATATGCCCCTACATTTCCTCTAACAACCTAAAACATACCGACGCTTACGGTCACGCAATTGTGCCACCCCCCACCCGCCCACCCCCATCAAATTATAATAAACACTTCAGAAAAGAGATAACAAATCAGTAAATATAAAAACAATAAAAGTTAGAAAGTCGTGTTAATAATACCAAAATAACATTCTAAACAATGTTTATGTAGTTCATTTATAAACTTACCTAGTCCCGTAATGTTGCAACCACGATCATTCCAGCGCCGAAAACAACACGCAAGATATATACGTTGACCAGCCTGCGTCTAAATAAAAACTACTGTACAGGCCATGATAATCATCTCCCTAGGATCATTCACACGTATGTAATATACGCGTTAAATAAAACGTTTGAAAGATAATAAAGTGTAGATGCGATGCCTTTTAAGGCGTTTGAATACGGTTTGTT